CACCCATTTCCAGCCACTCCGTTGCACCCACGCCGTCCGCAGCCGTCCGCGCACTTCTCTGCACCCATTGCCCGTCCGCAGCCGGCGCAGCCAAGCTCGCTCATCACCAGCGGCTTCTTATACCCATTTCCAGCCACTCCCTTGCACCCACGCCGTCCGCAGCCATCCGCGCACTTCTCCGCACCCATTTCCCGTCCGCAGCCGTCCGCGTAGCCAAGCTCGCTCATCACCAGCGGTTTCTTCCCCCAGCAACTCCCTTGCACCCACGCCGTGCCCCCACCCATTTGCCGTCCGCAGCCGTCCGCGCAGCCAAGCTCGCTCATCACCAGGGGCTTCTTCTCCCCACCCATTTCCAGCCACTCCCTTGCACCCACGCCGCAACCGTCTGCGCACTTCTCCGCACGCATTGCCCGTCCGCAGCCGTCCGCGCAGCCAAGCTCGCTCATCACCAGCGACTTCTTCTGCCCACCCATTTCCAGCCACTCCGTTGCACCCACGCCGTCCGCAGCCTTCCGCACAGTTCTCCGCGCCCATTTCCCGTCCGCAGCCGTCCGCGCAGCCGAGCTCGCTCATCACCAGCGGCTTCTTCTCCCCACCCATTTTCAGCCACTCCGTTGCACCCACGCCGTCCGCAGCCGTCCACGCAATTCTCCGCACCCATTTCCCGTCCGCAGCCGTCCGCGCAGCCAAGCTCGCTCATCACCAGCGGCTTCTTATACCCATTTCCAGCCACTCCCTTGCACCCACGCCGTCCGCAGATGTGCGCAGCCGTCCGCGCACTTCTCCGCACCCATTGCCCGTCCGCAGCCGTCCGCGCAGCCAAGCTCGCTCATCACCAGCGGCTTCTTCTCCCTATACCCATTTCCAGCCACTCCCTTGCACCCTTGCCGTCCGCAGCCGTCCACTCCATTCCTTTCCCTTCCTTTCCCTTTCTTCCCTTCCTTTCCCTTCCTTTTTCCTTCCTTTCCCATCCTTTCCCTTCCTTTCCCTTCCTTTCCCTTCCTTTCCCTTCCTTTCCCTTCCTTTCCTTTCCTTTCCTTTCCCTTCCTTTCCCTTGCACCCACGCCGTTCGCACACCACCGTTCAAACCAGCTCGCTCCCCCACCCGGTTAAACAACTAAACAAGAACCCAAGCATCGAAGATGCTTTTGGGAAAAACGTTTCTTTCCCATGAGTGTCCTATTGCCGAGCGTTTCGCATCCATGTCACAAGTCTTATTTCCTCTCCGTCCAGCATGCTGTCTCGCTCCCTCCCAGCGAAGCTCTCCCCAAGCTATTTCCACGGTTTTGTTATGTCCAGCATGCTGTCTCGCCCCCTCCCAGCGAAGCTCTCCGCAAACATTTCCGACCCATTTCCCGTCCGCAGCCGTCCGCGCAGCCAAGCTCGCTCATCACCAGCGGCTTCTTCTCCCCACCCATTTCCAACTTCTCCCTTGCACCCACGCCGTCCGCAGCCGTCCGCGCAGTTCTCCGCACCCATTTGCCGTCCGCAGCCGTCCGCGCAGCCAAGGTCGCTCATCACCAGCGGCTTCTTCTCCCCACCCATTTCCAGCCACTCCGTTGCACCCACACCGTCCGCAGCCGTCCACGCAGTTCTCCGCACCCATTTGCTGTCCGCAGCCGTCCGCGCAGCCAAGGTCGCTCATCACCAGCGGCTTTTTCCCCACCCATTTCCAGCCACCCCCTTGCACCCACGCCGTCCGCAGCCGTCCACGCAGTTCTCCGCACCCATTTGCCGTCCGCAGCCGTCCGCGCAGCCAAGGTCGCTCATCACCAGCGGCTTCTTGTCCCCACCCATTTCCAGCCACCCCCTTGCACCCACGCCCTCCGCAGCCGTCCGCGCAGTTCTCCGCACCCATTTGCCGTCCGCAGCCGTCCGCGCAGCCAAGCTCGCTCATCACCAGCGGCTTCTTCTCCCACCCATTTCCAGCCACTCCGTTGCACCTACGCCGTCCGCAGCCATCCGCGCAGTTCTCCGAACCCATTTGCCGTCCGCAGCCGTCCGCGCAGCCAAGGTCGCTCATCACCAGCGGCTTCTTCTCCCCATCCATTTCCAGCCACGCCGTTGCACTCGCGCCATCCACAACCGTCCGCGCAGTTCTCCGCACCCATTTGCCATCCGCAGCCGTCCGCGCAGCCAAGCTCGCTCATCACCAGCGGCTTCTTCTCCCCACCCATTCCTGCCACTTCGTTGCACCCACGCCGTCCGCAGCCGTCCACGCAGTTCTCCGCACCCATTTGCCGTCCGCAGCCGTCCGCGCAGCCAAGCTCGCTCATCACCAGGGGCTTCTTCTCCCCACCCATTTCCAGCCACTCCGTTGCACCCACGCCGTCCGCAGCCATCCGCGCAGTTCTCTGCACCCATTTGCCGTCCGCAGCCGTCCGCGCAGCTAAGGTCGCTCATCACCAGCGGCTTCTTCTCCCCACCCATTTCCAGCCACCCCCTTGCACCCACGCCGTCCGCAGCCGTCCGCGCAGTTCTCCGCACCCATTTGCTGTCCGCAGCCGTCCCCGCAGCCAAGCTCGCTCATCACCAGCGGCTTCTTCTCCCCACCCATTTCCAGCCACTCCGTTGCACCCACGCCGTCCGCAGCCATCCGCGCAGTTCTCCGCACCCATTTGCCGTCCGCAGCCGTCCGCGCAGCCAAGGTCGCTCATCACCAGCGGCTTTTCTCCCCACCCATTTCCAGCAACCCCCTTGCACCCACGCCGTCCGCAGCCATCCGCGCAGTTCTCCGCACCCATTTGCCGTCCGCAGCCGTCCGCGCAGCCAAGGTCGCTCATCACCAGCGGCTTTTCTCCCCACCCATTTCCAGCCACCCCCTTGCACCCACGCCGTCCGCAGCCGTCCGCGCAGTTCTCCGCCGCCCACGCCGTCCGCAGCCGTCCGCGCAGTTCTCCGCACCCATTAATGCCGTCCACAGCCGTCCGCGCAGCCAAGGTCGCTCATCACCAGCGGCTTCTTTTCCCCACCCATTTTCAGCCACTCCGTTGCACCCACGCCGTCCGCAGCCGTCCACGCAGTTCTCCGCACCCATTTGCCGTCCGCAGCCGTCCGCGCAGCCAAGGTCGCTCATCACCAGCGGCTTCTTCTCCCCACCCATTTCCAGCCAATCCGTTGCACCCACGCCGTCCGCAGCCGTCCACGCAGTTCTCCGCACCCATTTGCCGTCCGCCGCCGTCCGCGCAGCCGAGGTCGCTCATCACCAGCGGCTTCTTCTCCCCACCCATTTCCAGCCACCCCCTTGCACCCACGCCGTCCGCAGCCGTCCGCGCAGTTCTCCGCACCCATTTGCGTCCGCAGCCGTCCGCTCAGCCAAGCTCGCTCATCACCAGCGGCTTCTTCTCCCCCACCCATTTCCAGCCACTCCGTTGCACCCACGCCGTCCGCAGCCGTCCACGCAGTTCTCCGCACCCATTTGCCGTCCGCAGCCGTCCGCGCAGCCACGCTCGCTCATCACCAGCGGCTTCTTCTCCCCAGCCGTCCGCGCAGCCAAGCTCGCTCATCACCAGCGGCTTCTTCTCCCCACCCATTTCCAGCCACTCCCTTGCACCCAGGCCGTCCGCAGCCGTCCGCTCCATTCCTTTCCCTTCCTTTCCCATCCTTTTCCGTTCCTTTCCCATCCTTTCCCTTCCTTTCCCTTCCTTTCTTTCCCTTCCTTTCCCTTCCTTTCCCTTCCTTTCCCTTCCTTTCCCTTCCTTTCCCTTCCTTTCCCTTCCTTTCCCTTCCTTTCCCTTCCCTTTTCCTTCCTTTCCCATCCTTTCCCTTCCTTTCCCTTCCTGCCCCTTCCTTTCCCTTCCTGTCCCTTCCTTTCCCATCCTTTCCCTTCCTTTCCCTTCCTTTCCCTTCCTTTCCCTTCCTTTCCCTTCCTTTCCCTTCCTTTCCCTTCCCTTTCCCTTCCTTTCCCATCCTTTCCCTTCCTTTCCCTTCCTGTCCCTTCCTTTCCCTTCCTGTCCCTTCCTTTCCCATCCTTTCCCTTCCTTTCCCTTCCTTTCCCATCCTTTCCCTTCCTTTCCCTTCCTTTCCCTTCCTTTCCCTTCCTTTCCCTTCCTTTCCCTTCCTTTCCCTTCCTTTCCTTTCCTTTCCTTTCCTTTCCCTTCCTTTCCCTTCCTTTCCTTTCCTTTCCTTTCCTTTCCCTTGCACCCACGCCGTCCGCACACCACCGTTCGAGCCAGGTCGCTCCCCCACGCGGTTAAACAACTAAACGAGAACCCAAGCATCGAAGATGCTTTTGGGAAAAACATGAAACGGAGGCGCGTCCGCGATCACCCCTCGCCGTAGACAGCACAAAAACAAACAACCATTAAGAAACCTTAATTTCTTGGATTCTCATTGAGAAGCAATGAGATTGTTCCAATAGGACAAGCAAGCCTTCTCCAACTTGATGAGGACATCCCCAATTTTTTCGACGGGCGGACAACTTTGAATCATATCCTTGAAGAACCAACGCTAGCAACAAAGTATCTTATGACATCAGCACAACATAGTTTTCGCATGAAAAAACGGATTTCGCATGGAAATTCAAAGATACGAGTGCGATCATAAAGTTATTACATCCACGAAACCAAGCCCAATGCCCAACACAAGTGTTTGAGAACCATAATTATATCTGTGAAAACCAACCATTTGTGGGTTTTCAGTATCCAGCTTTTAAAAACCCACAAAAAAAAGATGAACAAAACATCCAGTACATGGACCACGCAAAATCTAATCCCAACATATTGATTGCAGGTTTTCTGCCTCCCACTGTCAAAAACCGGTTTGATGTTCCAAATGAACGCTTTCTACCACGGTTGGGGTTTGAATCGCCAAGTCAGAAAAGCAAAGTCAAAAAGTCAAACACTTTTCTTCTGGCGAAAAGTTGCGCTTAAACCACCCAAACAATACACCAAACTGGATACGCAAGGGTTCCTGTCTAATCATCTATCCTCCACCATAAGGCAGGCGAGGTCCAGGTTTGTGGGTCGCGAAAATGCCTAGCCAGAAACCAACAAAAATAGTTATTCAGGAACCTCGCCCTTGCTCTTTTTACATCTTGCTAGGGAATGCATCATGCCAATGCCAAAAAGTTGGCTCTTTGGCCTTAGATCTGCCACCAAAGGTGCTGCCATGGGTGGGCCGCGGTGGGGGGCTTGAGCCCCAAAAAGACAAGTGTTGAGTTCCTACTGTCAGGAACCTCGCCCTTGCTCTTTTTCCATCTTGCTAGGGAATGCATCATGCCAATGCCAAAAAGTTGTCTCTTTGGCCTTAGATCTGCCACCACAGCTTCCATCTTTTTCGACATTCTCCGGAGGAATCTCTGCAGCACCTTTGAGGAGTGAAAACCAAGTCTTTGGAGGAATGCAGGTGTCGAGGAAAGAAATCGCATGCTCGATCACTACTGCAAATTCTCCAGAGCAAAGTTCAATCAGCTGTCTGGCCTTTGGTTGAAGCTTGTCAATCCAGGTGGAAACCATAACCTCCTGCAAATAGATCTCCATTGTCCTATTGCTAAGCCAACGTCCTCTTCTTCTGACATAATCAGGTGACTCTGTCTGATGGAGCATCCACGTAGCACCACCAGGCCTCAAGGACCCTAAATCGAAGGGCCGAGAGGAAGTAGTCTTTGAGGTTGGCAGCTGTAGCGCAGATAACAGCCTCACAAACCTTTTTCTCAGTGTCGCAGCTGAAAAAGGCCATAAAGCAGAATCTTTTGGAGCATCTCGGTACATTGCAGTTAAGAAGCGGATCACATCGCTTTGGTCGATTCGTGCAGCTTGATGCCTCGCAGCCCGGCCCCGTGTCTTTGGTTGATTTATGGAAATCAACATAAAGGAGGTTCCTGGAGCTGCGTCGCAAGGGAACACGACATCGCTTCTTTTTGCAGAAAGGACTTCACCGACTCTCATCACACCAGCCCAAGCCATAAGAATCACTGATGCTTCGTAGGGCCAGCCCCAATAGATGGAGACAACAACCATTGCTGCCATCAGCGATAAAGGCATCGCAGGATGGTGGGTGTGAGGCTCGTCTGCCAGCCATGCAAAAGCCAGATCCCACGCTGAAGTGAGGCCACGTCTGATGATGGGCCTCTCAACAGCGACAGAGTTTATGGTCTCGGCGAAGATCCCATATGCCTTTCCAGAACGATAAAGGGCTTTCCCATATTCAACCAACAGCTCCGATATACGCTCAGCATCAGCAGGTTTCTGATCAATGAGGAAACGGAAAGACAACTGTCGTTCTTCCCAAAGCCACTTCCTGAACCAATCCAAATAAACTTTGCGCCTATCTCTTGTCTGTTTCTTTATGGCTCTTGTAGCAGCCAAAAGAATCCCATCACGCTTTTGGCATCTCTGACGTTCAACCTCTGTCTGTGGTGCCATGTGCATCGCTGAAACAAAAGGCAGCAAGAGCAGTAATACCATGGCTACCCGGACCGGACGACGGAAGGGGTAAAGCTTAGGGGCCCCATAGGAATATTTAGTTTTGCGCTTAACCCACTCAGGAAAAATCCAATGCCCAAAGACAGAGGCCAAGCAGGAACAAAAGGCAAAAACGAAGATCCAAGGAAGGGACCAAGCAGCAATGGACAGTTGCTCGGATGCACCAACAAAGGCAGCAGAGGCAGGCTGAACAAGGAGAACCAAGAGACAGAGACGAGCCCAATTGGCAGCGAAACGACGCAAGTTGAGAGCGACAGAGTCCAGAGCCCTAGAAGATGCAAAATTCGTGATGGACAAAGGCACGGGTTCACGCAAGTCCACATCCCTGGTTGGGTCATCAGCAGTGTTGAGTCTTGTAGGCGTGTACGGCCATGCAGGGTAAAGATCAAAACAGACACACCAAACACAAGCTCGCTTCAGACCAGGTTGCAAAGCGTAGGAAGCAGAACGGCCTTTGGCTAAGGCTCCTCTGCAGACAGCAGAATCCAGAAAAGTGGAAAACCTGACAGAAGCTTTCTTTTGAGCAACGGAGCCCAGACTGGAGACAGCCGACGCAAGCTCAAGGACATTTATGTGTGCAACCTTCTTCCAAAACCAAGTACGGACAAGGTGCCACTTTGACGAGAGCATCACATCATTTGCAAGGACGGACTCAAGACCATCAGTGGACGCTTCAAGTCTATCACTGGCATCAATGCACAAGAGGGCATCATGGAAGGCAAGTCCAATATGGTCAGCCAAACCATCAACATAAATTGCTGAAGGCTTCGTCAAGGATCCTTGCACACGGACATGAGAGTGGCCCCCCGGACATCGTCGATCCAAAAATTTTATATCAAGCAAGAAACAGAGCAACCTGAATTCTTTTCGGTGAGGTGATCCAAAAACGCAAGATGCGATGATGGCTTCTTCAAACCCAAGGTCCAACAAGGCTCTCCACAAATCCAACCAGCACATCTTACTAAGTCTGCTCTGTTCTGCACCACATGGTCGACGACACCGTCTGCCAACACGCAGCAAAAGAAGGGTCCTAAAAGCCAAAACATTGCCAAGCAGGGTCTTTGGGTCAAGACGGCTGAACCCCAAAGGCTCTTTGTAGCTCCTGACAGCAGGGTGAGCTGCCGGGCTGAATGATGTGCAAGGAGGAGCAATGAAGAAGCTGCGGAACCGATTTTCCTCAATCATGTAAATGATCCACTCGGTCAAACGGAGGCAGGTCAGGTCGTAGTGCCTACTATTGGACAGGTCAAGAACAGGGGCCACAGATCTACCAAGCCGCGCCAGAGCAGCAGAAACCTTTCCAGCTCCCCCACAGATTTCAACAAAATCAAAATAAAGCAAGGGCTGTTTCCTAATTGGTTCAACTTCCGGGAAAGGACAAGCACGATCAAGGTCATCATCAACCTCACCAAGATGACGCAACATTGCACGAAATCCATTGTCAAGGTGGGTATAAGACCCTTGCTTGTCAGCATTCAGCCAAACCGATTCCTGAAGCTCAGAGCCAACTGAGGCGGAAACAACGGCCCCTTTTCGATTCGAAGCATCTGTGGCATATATCTCGTCAAGGTATTCAACTGCAACATTGGTGAAAATCAAGGGGGCGACTGCAGAAAGCAACACAAGTTCCTGGGCAACTGATCTGGTAAGCTGATGTATCCCAATCTCGATCTCAGCCAAGCAAGCGCAAGACAACTTGAACAAGGAGTCAATCAAACTGGAAAAACATTTTCTGAACTGAAGCACCGCTACCCAATTTCCAACCAATCGCGAGACAAGGGAAGCTGATATCCCCGGCAAACATGCAGCCCGCAGACTGAGCACAGAAAGAGCAATCCTCTTAGAAAAAGGGGCCCCAACTGGAACAACACCAAGCCGTACATTTTTCTGAGTGGATCGGATCTCAGCACCAGCAGCCTTCACGAATGGCTGGGCAACCACATCCTTTTCAACAGACCCAATCAACTGAGCTTGATCATAGGTCAATCTGGCATGTGCAAGGGAGGTCATGGCAAATGATTTCTCAGCTGGCGTACTGGGAGGTTCAGCGCCAAGTGCAAAATAATCATCAATCACCGAAGCATCCCAATGCGGTCCCCTCGGAACAGGCTGGCCACCAAGAATCCTTGTCGACGGCTGCAAAAGTCCATGATTTTCCAAAAGCAAGCTATGGCTACGCAAAGCAAACTCAACACCCAAATGGTCGCCTTGAAACAAAGAAGAAAAACAAGGATACAAGGGCTCATGCAAAAGGTTCTTGGAGCGGGTGCTCTTGCCAAGGCCAAACATTCCAAGTCTATCACCAGCAACCTCTCTGCTCAGATTTTTGGATTGTCGAGCCAAGGCACAAAAATCATCCAAGGCTTTGGTACCTGCAAAAGTCTCAGGCGCATATGAAAAAGGAAGCATGTTACTCCTAGCTCGTTCAGGGGTGACTTGCGCTTGATGGTAGAAATCCCGTCTATCTGTGACAGATCCTGTAATGGCATGAGTGAACCTAGGAACCCTGATACAGGTCAACTGCTGGCCCTGTGGAAGCTGCTTTGATGGACCATTGATGTGAAACTCAGACATATTTGGAAGTCTTCTGTCACCAATCTGTCGGTCCTTCTCACGATCCTTAAAGCAATTGAAAACTCGGGAAAAGAGTCCAGGTGCAATAGGCTCAGGGAACAACGACAAAAGTCCACGAGAATCCCAAAGTTTTGCAAGCTTCAAACATTCATCAGGGTCCTCGGCAGCAAAGTTGGGCACACAGTCTTCGGAGACCGGCAAACCATGCAGCAAAAACGCAGGCTCCTGAAAAGGGAGCCACAAGGGTCCATCAAGATAGGATTCCATCGGCCAAGCCCCTTCACCAACCAAACGGAGACGACCTGCATCAAGAGACCTATAGGGCTGCAACTCAGGAAAAGACTCAACAGGCAACAGCTTTGTGCCGGGCGTGAAAGGAGTCCATTCATTCTCCATGTATCCAGACTTCAAGATCTTCAAGTCATGACAGGAACGGCGAAACGACTCAAGCTGGAAAAGTGCACTGCCTAATTCAGGACTGGATCTGCCGGGGCAAAGAGAAAACTCTTCCTGGGCATCACCACACACACTTGCAAATGTCCTAAGCCGCTCAAAAACTGCGACCTGCTGCTGGGAAGGACATCTCCTGAGTTCATCAACACTCGGCCACCTACCTAAGTAGAGAAAGTCCAAGACAAGCACCCAAATGTTCAACAAGCGGCTCTTGCACAAAGACTGGAACCTCCGACGTGACAGACCAGGGCCACTGCTACGAAAGCAATCCAAACTGGGCAACGGCAGTGGAAAAAGTGTGGAAGCCGTTTCTTCAGAACGGCGCAAGATGGAAAAGGTCTTTGCAAGACAAAAAGCAAACTTTGCGCGTGTCTTCAAAATCCAACGGGGCAATGCAGCAGACCAACGTTGGAATGAAACTGTTGAGATCAAGGGGTTTGGCTCCGGCCCCCTATCACCCTCTGTACCATGCAAGCCGTTTTGACCTCCAGCTAGTCCTCCTCCTCCTGTTGATGACTTCCTCCAGCGCCTCTGCCCGAACCCTTGCCTTTCTTCTTTGGGGCTCCCTTTGGTCTGGGATTCTCGGCGGTGCTTGAAGAAGCTGCGAATGCTCCTTGCTTTGATGGCGCAGTCAATTCCAGTCTCTTGGCCGAGATGATATCCAATTCTTTTAGGTAGGCAAGAGCTACCGTCACCCATTGTTGGGATGCCAAGGGTGTGAAAGCTCTGGCTCGCGACAAAACATTCGCCGGCTTGTGGGTGAAAACCGAGGACGGTGGGTCCTCCTGAAGGCACAACAAATTTGCTAAGTCGAACCTGCCATTGTCCAGTGCCGCCTGATCCAGTGTCACCGCTAAAAGAGCTGTTGCATCCCGAGCGGCAAGTAGATTTCCAACCTGGAGAAAATCCATGATGGTCATCACCTGATGTTGGAGGCACCCAAGCTCTCTGTGTTTCCCAAACCCCCCGAATCTCTCTAGATATCGGGTGCCTGATATCCCTCTCTGCATCATCTCTTCTGGAGAACCTTCCACTGGCAAAGCTGGGTGCATGCGTCGGGCCATACTGCCCAAGACAGCCGAAAAGAAAGTTCCCCTCTGTGCTGCTAGCTCCGCTTGAAGCTTTGCCCGCCCCTGTGCACCCCTGGTTCCCCCCCCAAAAGACCCTGTCCCAAATTCCAACATTGGGTCTGCACCCTGAGATGCTATCTGGGAGACTAAAGCCGTGAGTACTTTGGACTGAGCAAGGACCGCTTGAGCAAGTGGCTCTTGAGAGGTAGATGGGTTTTGCGCCAATTTCTCCTCCTCCAATTCTGCCAGTTCCTGGGGCTGAAACATTGGAGACTTCAACAGACCCGGGGCTGAGTGAGCAGCAGTGCGCGGGGGAGTACCAATTGCTTTTGCTACCTGGGAACCCTGCAAGGTATGCTGGCTCAGTGCAGTGGAGATAGGCTGGCTCAACAACATCTGAGGAGTAGCCAATTGGTGAGTGGGCGCCAAAACACGCTTCTCTAGCTGTTGTTGCCTCAATGCCAGAGACTGCACCTGTTGGGAAAGTCCAGTGTTGACCTGAATCAAGTTTTCTAGGGAACCTGCAAGAGAAGACACCGTTGGTCGCTTTTCGGGCCCTGTAGGCCGTGCGGGACCAGGCACTGTGGTTTTTGACTTTTGGGCTTTGGAGTTGGAGGAGGAGTAGATTGGGTCTGAGCATCTAGAAGATCCCCGGCCGCCTGAAGCTCTGCGTCTGTGAGGGCCTCCCCATCCAGATCCCCCCCTTGTTCGGCTGTGACATACCCCAAAGCTGTGCTTTCCCCTCCACCTTCCAACCACTCCCGAACCTTGGCCAACAAGTCTTCTGGAGAAGGAACTGCATAAGGCTGATCCTGGTCGAAGGTGAAATGCAGATTTGAAAATGAAGGAAGCATCTTGAGCTGAGGCAGGATGGCTTCGGAAAAATCCACTACCAGCACGGCCAGTGGCGACCCGGTAGGAGTGAGGGCGCCATTGTCCAACACAGAACCTGGGACCAACAAAACCGTAGACGGACCGACAGGACCTGGAGGGACAGGAGAATTTCCAACGGAAAGAACCTCTTCGGGCACAAATCCAATTGGGGCTGCAAGCAAAAGTCCACCAGGCCTGGTGTGAATTACTAGTACCAAAGCTTCTGATTGGCTCTCTAGATCTACTGCAGGCCATTCAAGCACGTATGGCTCGATGTCGTTGCTTATAGTGACCAAGGAACCCAAAGTCAAAAGGTCTTGTCCTTCCATAGATGCACTCATGGAGCCGTCTCGATCTCTTCGGCACCTGCTGACTCAAGGTAGATACGGGCTTCAATCTCACTGGGAAAGCTCTGGCTGATGGCTGAGCTTCCTTCCAAGGAACCGATGCAACCCCAGTACCCAGCACTTGACTTGAAAATGGTGGCTCTGACAAGTCCAGGAGCCTGAAGGACAGCGTAGTACCTGGGACGGAGATCAATGCAGGGTGTTCGATTGGGACTGCCAACCCGCTTAGCACGAACAGCACCAGCCCACTGCCCAGCCAGCCAGGCACGAAGGATCCGGTCCTTGCCTGAAGAGCTTGAACCACACAGCCGGTTGGAGTGCACAAAATGACGAGCAGGGCAAGGATCAAAAGACCGCAAGATAGATTCCCTGGTTTCAATTCCACGATTCCCAGGAGGAGATGGTGGCTCAGAGACGCCAGCAGAGGAAACCAACTCAAAAGAACGATCCGAGCGAGCAGAGCTGGACGGTCCAGGGAACAGCGAGATGTAGCCCAACAACTCAGCAGCCCGATCAGAAGAACCAGAGGGTGCAGTGACAGTGACCTGAATGTCCCCAGGTAGGGAGATACGAAGTTCAACCCCTCCGTCGTGATTGGATGGATTCTGTTGCATGCAGATAGGAAGCCAAGACTTGTGCACGAGGAGACAGCCGAGCAACCATGGAGCCGAACAAGGCAACAGGAGAACCACCGGCAAGTCCAAGCAAAGTCCAAACCAGGCCCAAACAGGACAGAAATCCAATCAGCCAGCCACTGAGGAAACAAAAGCCAAGCAAACCGAGGGATGGGCTAGCGCAGTAAAATGGACAGTTAAGTCCCCACAGGTTAGTTTTTACCCCTTCCAAGAAGAAACCAAGGACAACAGCTGGGGTCATGAGGGCTTGAGCCCCAAAAAGACAAGTGTTGAGTTCCTACTGTCAGCGATTCGCGCAAATGCATTGATAGACACCAAACTGGATACGCAAGGGTTCCTGTCTTATCACCTATCTTCAACCGTAAGGCAAGCGAGGTCCAGGTTTGTGGGTCGCGAGAATGCCTAGCAAAAGACCTACAAAAATAGCTGTTCATCGACTCGCGCAGATGCATTGATATCGACATCAAACTGGATACGCAAGTATACCTGTCTCTGTCTATGTTTATTGCCGAACCTGTTCAATTTATTCATATCCAGCCAGTCCATATCTATTTATACATATTTATACTATCTTTTGAACTCTTTTGGTTAATAAATTACTTGTCGTACCTATTGCATCAGTGAGAAAAAACAAAAAATCAACAGTTGAACAAAGATGGAAACACCAAGTCGAACACTTTGAGACTTTTCTAGTCGAAAAGTTCGCAAAGTTAAGAACTCGCTGACGGTTTTGAATTGCCAAGTCATAAAAGCAAAGTCGAAGTGGTCAAAGCTTTCCTTTTTCTGGGCGAAAAGTTGAAAACGAGTGAAAAAAATGATGCATGATTGACTTGTTATATAATTTATATGAGGTTAAAGAAGTTTGTACTAGAACCTGAATACCCAATGTAATTAGCAACAAAAGCAGACATACGGTAAATCACGTCCGGAACAAGAATTCTTGACCCTTTCCCTAAAACACTTCTTTTTGGGATTGGGAAAGGAATAAGAGTATACAGGGTGCCCCGGGTAATTATTTCCTGTAGAAAATACTTACACTACCCGTGAAAACCAACCATTTGTGGGTTTTCGGTATCCAGCTTTCAAAAAACCCACAAAATCAACACAAAAATCAAGAAACCCAGCACATGGACGACACAAAATCTAATCCTTATACATTGATTGCAGGTTTCCTGCTCCCCTGGAAAGTGAACAAAAACTCGACCAGGAAAGAGCAACAAAACAACAATGAAAAGCCATGTGCGTGGATACTGCCTGTGCTCCAATGCCTCCAAAACCCACGCTTTTTATCACTCTTCCAGGGAAAATTTTCGCAAAAAGTCAAAAAATCAAAAAAGTCAAAAAGTTTTCGACTTTTCGAATTTTTCATTTTTTTGGTTTTTTTCGACTTTTCGAGCAGAAATCTCCTGGAATGGGAACTTTTGGACTTTTCGACTTTTCGCGCTCGAAAATCGTGATTTTCACGGTGTGACCGCTACCAGCCAGAAGAGCACACAGGTGTAGCCGATTGGGCTGTAGTAGTGCTCTTGACTCTGGGGAGTCTCTAGAGTGCTGAGCTTGATCCCCCCCAGTCACGATGACGAGAGGACTTAAAGTTTTTATGTGTGTGTCTGGGCCCTACTTTGTCGGTGCTTGTTGTTTTGCTGTTATAGTTTACTAAGCATGGCAGGTCACCCCCTCACTACTGCACTTCAGGCCAATACCAGTACTAAGGCAGCCAGGTAAGTACCGAGGCTCAACGCAAACCATGCCTTCAGTGGCTCGTAATGTTTGCCTGTGTCACCGGTTGACTGTCAACCCCCATGAGAGCTGAGATCATTTGCCATTGCTGGGGGGTGCTGCTGGTTGGGGGTGCTTGCGTAGCCGGCCCGTGCCATGGAAGGTGATCCAGCAGGACCTTGCCCTTTTCATAACTTATGACTAGGGCTTTGTCCTGCTGTAGATCCCTCAGTGCGCCCGTGAAGCAGCAAAGACTGCATACATGGTTCCCGCGCCAGCTCTGCCAACCTTGCTTGGACACCTCTTCCTGGAAGCATTTTCTTGGCTCTTGATGAATCGCACCCTTTCCCTTTGGGCAACAAAAGCCTCAGAGTAATTGGATTGATGTACATGCCATATCAATGTTCACACTGATAAGAACAGATACTGCACTTGTATTTGGAATCCCTTTCGGACTCCCCCTTTGCCGTTACGGCAAATCAAAAAGGTCTAGGCTCAAGGCTTTGTACCAGATTGACGGCTGCTGTGGTACATTGCAGCCATCACTACGGGTGACCAACCCTTCTGTCGGTTCTGCCGCTGAAATCTGTTCCATGGATTTTGAATTTCGCTTTCGGGCTTTTCCCCAGCGACTCCACGCTCAGCCGCAGCCGCTGATGCCACCACAGCTGCAGGCCCTATGCTCGCTGCAGAAGGAACCGCCGCGCCCGCTGCTTGCTCGCCCAGCGCTGAAGTCACCGCTGCCGATGAAAGCCCTGCTGTGCCCGATCGTCTCTTCAAAGACTTGGACATAGAGCAAGGTTGTGACATAGAAGGACCCTGCCCAGGGGTCATTGAAAGCGCAGGACCCAACATCTTCTCCTCACGCAGGTGTCGAGTCATGCCATGAAGCCAACCGTCCCAAGCCATGACAACAGGCTGGATCTGTGCAACGTACAGCACGAAGCTCTTGAAATCAGGCTTTGGTTCACCATGCTTGTTCAAGCCTGAGGCCCAATAGTCAATGTTGGCGTCAGGTCTGCACCGTTCCCAGCTCACATATCTGTGGCCAAAAGCTACGCATCCGCTGCCAAGCCAAATCAAGATCATCAGAAGAGCAAAAACATACATCTTCTGCTTGCAATATTTGTAGGTCACGTACACATCCGACAGCATGTCGGCCATCCACAGCAAACCCATTTGAGCCACTTCAGCTTTTGCAAAAAATCTTTCAATTTCAACTTGGTCCAGGTCCTCACCTGCAAATCTTCGGACAACAAACTCTGCAACACTTTCGCTGCACTTTTTCAACCGAAACAGAGCCAACAGCAACATTGCACAGAGCAACAGCTGCGTGCAATGCTCACCGCACGTCAGGATTGCCCACTCCATGATCTTCCGCATCTGGTCGGTGAAGCAAGGCCCTGGGGCGAACCTGCGCAGGTTGCCCAAATCCACCATTTTCGCATGCAAGATGTGGAACTCTTTGCCCAACGGTTCTCGTCGCAACACCACCGCGGCCACAATGGCCAGTGCCAGGCCGAGCAAACCACAGACTTTGAGGGCGAAAGCCCCGGAACCAGCTGGGCAAATGGCAGATCTGCCGTGGATTTCCGGTTCATCGGCCGCCTTGTCGCACAGCTCTTCTCTCACGGCCAGGAGCAGCGGCGTCTCCTCTTCCTCCCCGTCGCTCGATTCGGGCAGCGGTCGGATGCTTTGAACCGACGCCTCCCGAGGCCGGCGCCTCCAAGGCCGCGACAAGCCGCAACCCATGGCTGACACCACAATCGCTTCTACTACTCAAAAGCGAGTGCGAAAAAGGCGCCACGTTGTACCACGTGATCTCTTCTTACAAAATGCTGTTTCCATAGTGTAAAGGCCCCACCTCCTTGGATCACATCATCACATGTTACGACGCTGCTTCCTATAGACATATTATTGAGAAGGTTATGCACCGAAATGATCTGAAATGTCCCTGAAGTTAATTGAGTGCATGGGACAAGTCACTTTCCGACTTAGCCGAGTGGGAAAAAACGTTTCATCACGTGATCTCACCTCAGGAAGAGCTGTTTCCTGGCGCGTCACATGCCCCTTTCGTGAATCTTCGTGACATGTCGGAAGGTCTTGGAATGGAATGCCTCGTTGGCATCTACTGCGATGTGTTGGAATGTCATGCGGTGTATTGTGATGTAGTGGAATGTGTGGGAAAGTGTCGGCACGTTGCCTTGAATCGCACAAGCACCTCTGCAAGCCAAACTGTCAGCCAAACCAAATTCACCACATCGACCAATGATTTGGACATCTGCATTCAGTGACTTCTCGGTTGCAACGTGTGCGACACCTTCAGCCTACTGAATTTGACACAAGCCAAAGAATGCTTCCGATCAGGACGCAACTGAGGGCCCCACTATGCGAAATGGTGCCGCTTTTTTGTCGTCCACATGGTGGCAGCTGCTTCTGTTGGGCCAGTTGAACATCCAGTTTTTCTGCTTCATGCATCCATTCTGGGGATTAAAAGTTCGCCGGGGCAACCACAAGTTAGTGGTTTGTTGCATCACCTTTGCCTCATAACAGCCTTTGAACCGTGCGAAAATGCAGGACGACATGGTTTGCAAAGATCAAAACATCTGGAACTGGATGGAGCTGCATAGACCTGTTGTGTGGGAATGTGGATGCGAACTCTGGGCAAAGCACTGCGCAATTCACCTTTCGTAAACATGGTCAAGGCCACCTTCAAAATCAGCAAGGACTTTCCAGCATCGAACTTTGTTCTTGATGAAAGTCTAAACAAAAGAATCACAACCTCACTTGCCTGGTGGACGGCTTTGCGAAATAAACTTAGGAAGACAAAGCACCCGACAAAGAATGGTAATCGAGTAAGTGAGAATTCTTAAGGGTGGCATGAGGAGCAAATGTTTAGGATGAAAAAACAACAAATCCAAAAACCCAGTCCGCAACATTCCGGAACAAAACTGTGTCATAGTAAGCAACCACTCCTTTGCTTGCAATCTGTTGATCACAATCCATACGTTTGAAAGACGGGGTGAACAGGCCCGCAAGAATAGAAAGTAGCACAACCAGCGTGTCCTGCGAAGGCCACCGAGATTATCCCCCAGGTTCAAAGGCAGCTCAGCCTATTTCTGTCGCAAAGTCAGGTTCTGCAATTGGCAGCTGCTGAGGGAATCTTCGCCGGGGCACCTTGGCGCAAAATGAACAAATCAAACTCCTACAGCTGCGGTGGAAGGAAAACTCCGTTCCAGCACGAACCAACCGAACCCAACTGGGAGCTTTGTTCTTTAAATGGCCCTGCCCAACCGGCCAGTCAGATTCTCCGATGTGGTTGCTGCAACAATCCCCGCATGAAATTCGAAAGCCTAGTTTCCGTTGATAGCTCCAAAGATGGGACCCTCCAAAATTTTCCACCTGCTAAGCATATTTTGACACAGCTAGATGTGGCCACAGGATCTGGATCTGGAAGACTGGCTGATTTTTTTCATGGTTCACATCGCAGCATGCCAACGTTTGGGTTAATTTGTGGACACCTGAACTTTCACACCATGTAGGAGAACGAAACGCACGAGTGACGAAACCAAAGCATCTTTGGGGTGGCAAAGGTTATTTAGGTTATTTGCATGTTCTCTGCACCTTCTGGACCCACACATGTGTTGTACACCCTCCACCAGACTCCCATGAAGTTTTGGTTTTGTCGTTTGCTGCCAAGAAGATGTTGACGAACCGTGCTTGGACTCCGCGCTTCCAATCCGTCGCTGCGCCTGCACAGGTGCCGTTCTTCCCACCACCACTGTTCCACGTTATGAAACACGATGACAAATGCTTATCAACACGGATATCCACTTTTTTTAATCTTTTTTGCATGTTCCAATTGTATCAAACAAGCAAGTCCCAAGGATATCGACGGGTTGTCATTCTGTGCGCCACCATTGAACCTGACGATGTAGATCTTGGTATCTGCAAGGATGGACCCCTTGGCACCTCTAGCGATTGGAGATGCAACGGATCTCTGCCCTGGGCGGCCAAAGCAGGCAAAAAAAAGACGGGTTGGTTGAACGGCTTGAACCAATGGGAACCTGTATAAAATCACGAAGAAACGGATATGATATGAACCAACCCAATATTAGGATATTGAAGGCCCAAAAAAGATTGGCACATGACCTAATGGAATTCAGCCAACAATGTGCAAACACTTATCAGGACAGAAAAAACTGGGACAGCAAAATCGACAAATCAAACTTCCGCAGAATCACGGCAGAAGGTGAATTCTCATGCCTGGCTATAGCTTAATTCAAATGCCCTGAGATTGTCCGGGGATCAAGCTCGAAGCAGCAACGGACAAACCAAACAACTGGGAGTTTCTGATCTTTCAACGGCCCTGGCCCCGGAATTGGTTGCTCGATCGGCAAAATAAGAATTTTCGATTTGATTGCTGCATCAAGTCCATCAGCCAAGTATTTGTTGACAGAAATAGATTCGGGGTCACAAGTTCTGGGTCTGCAACAACTCAAACCTTTCAATTTTCAAATGGCAGCATGGAACATTGGAGCGAACTTGTTGATAGCTTGTCGCTTGTTGACATCGGATTCTGCAAAGCTATTGAACTCTCACATCATCCATGAGAATGAAGCGCGCAAAGGTCACGTCGCTGGATCCTATTGGTGCCTTGTAAATTGCTGATGAACTGCACTTGGACCCCGCGCCTCCAATCCTTCGGCCGGTTCTTTTCAGCGCAATTTCAGCAAAAGCCTTTTGGCCGAGACACGCAGTGAAGCTCCAACATCATAAGCATATCGCCCGAAAAAGCGATTCAAGACAAGAAATGGATTTGGTAATTCTCCAATGGTTTCAAGGACCAATAACCACAATAACCAAACATTGGCCACTTAGGACTGCGTCACCGAAAGTTGTATCCCAAGCTGATGGCAACATGTCATGACGTCATGGGAACTTGCCATGACAGCAACGTTGGCAACGTTGGCAACGACCCACCTGAAGGAAATTGGATCAGCACGATTTATCTCGCAAAACGAGATCTCCACACCCACGACCTGCGCCAGAAGGCCCATGACCACCCGGTGGATGTTGCAGCCCTAGATTTGCTTAACGGGACATTTACCACAACCTGCAAAATAGCTTAAATCAAACGGCTGCCTGAAATCAACTTAAACCGATCCTGTTCCTATCTCCCAGGCACTTTTTGGTGAAGCGATCCCATCTTAGCAAGACACCCCTCACCAGGCGAAGGTCCATGGAGGCTCCAAAAATGGGGCCGTGTGGCCATGGCATCATGATGTGGTAAACACTTGGCATATGGACCAAGAAAAAAAAGTGGAGAGATCAATGCTCTAAGCAAATATACTGGCAAGCAACATCAATGCAACCACGTCAGCAAATTAGGACTGGGCCACCATCACGATTGCTAGCATCGAAACATGTGAACAAAAACATGGGATTAAAAAACGCAATCATGGGGATACACACACATGACTTAACCTTGAAAGGAGCAAAGACGGGAATATCAAGCAATCAGATGGGTACATCATGAAGTCATGGGGACATAGACAAGAGGCAGATCAATCAAGAAAATCAGTGGGTCGAAATGGTTCAAGGAAGCAAAACCGGCTGATCATTTTTTCTCTTCGATTAGTTTCCAAAGACTGACAAAGATGCCACGGCACTTCAAGCTTCTAAGTGTACCTCATAGTGAATGCTCAGCAAGCATCGCCAAACTTTGAAAACCACAAGAGCTGCCCATGGTCAGCCTGAAGCGCTGAATTAACTCCTCGTTCTCTGCCTGTCATGTCTGTTATCGTATTTTTCAAAAAACTGACATTGTCTGTATACACATGAGTCAACTATAATTTGGCCATCAAACAATGATGTTTTGACCCTCTAAAAAGCCGGAAATCTGTGGGTGCCTTGTGTCCAAAGTTGGCAACAAAAGCTATGTTCATCTTCATGCAATGACAATCAAAACAGTTTGCTATCCAACATGCTGCAACCATGTGAGATAATGGCATTAGGCATTAGGTAAATAACCAACCGTGTTGCCTTGCTGCCAACAAATCAAAACCATTTTAACCTATGTTTTCCATACCATATACCATCAGTGCTATCCATTCCGGGCTTGCCAAACCCACTGTGAAGCGCGCCAGGAAGACCTCAAGTGTCAGCTTTGACGCGGCATCCTGCCCGCAATCATTGGTGCAGCTGATCGATCTAGGCTGCCACTGTGTTCAACATCTCCTGGGATGGTCGCAGCTTAGTTTTTGGTCAAATACCGGCGTTCTTTGATATAAGAACCGCTTCACCCACATTTCTAATAGATTCGTTTCAATAAATTTGGTCCCCAATTTGTGGGTCATGCACTGCAGAGGTTTGTCCCAAATAGGTTTGTCATGTCCTCGGTTCAACCTGATGTTCTGCTCGGGAGTTGGCCTGTCACGTGAAGTGTGTTGGGAGCTGTTCGTAGGACCAACGGTTGTTGTGGTTGGTGGCAACCGTTGATAGTTAGTCATGGTTGCTGGTTTTTGACAGTTGTTCCTGGCTATCATCAAAGTTAGCTTCATGGTGTTCCATCCTCATTTTTCACACTTGTTTCGCATAATTTCCCTCATTCCACTGATGAAGCGACATGAAGTGGACTAAGACGTAAGTCCTATGGTCCTATGCGCTGCTGCAGCGTAGCTTGACAATGCTCATGACTGCAGTCGTATTGCTGCAATATTTGAAGCCAGGGTGCACCAACACGAACCGCC